TTCATTCAATATATTAAAGGTTCATTCAGTATATTCAAGGTTCATTCAATATATTCAAGGTTCATTCCATATATTCAAAGATTAGTTTCCTGAACGCCATACAAACACATTTAAACTGAATCTTTGTTTATACCAGGATCCTGAATTATCTGTTTTAGAGACCAGCCAAAATTACAGAGCTCTCACTCCGCTATTCTTTTCGGATATCTTTTTTTTTTTTTTTTTTAAAGCCAAGTTAAAAACAAATAGTAAATATTTTTGGACAAATAGCTCAAGAGTGCTGTTACTATGCAGAAGTAAACTGTTCTGAGATAAAGAAATCAACACAGACAGGCTCATGTGCGGGTGTTTTATCCACACACAACTCAGCAGCGGAGATATCGCTACAGGTGTGAAGCATCTCGACACATAAACGATCGTTTCGGTGACGCATTATTCCCGCGAAACTCGGTTTTTTCTCTGAAGCTAAAGTCAAAGTAAAGACGTTTGCAATGAGTAAAAAAGACAACGGTAAGAGTCAGCTCATGTGTCAGGATGTTAATGACTGTTAACAAGCTAAATGTCTCATCTCCCACTCGTGTCGACGCTCGTTAGAAGAAACAGATACTTAAAAAGTTTGGATACGAAGCTATAAGCTAACGTTAGCCACATTAAACTACATAGTTAGGGTAAGTTAGCTGACATCAAAGCTGTCAAACCTTTAAATGAGTACAGCCACTGGAGTGTTTTATAGTATGTATGAATATAACATCATTGTTCACCAGTGGTCAAAGTGTCTTAAACTTACCAAAAAACTAACATACAAACAAATGTAACACACAGTAACAGTAAAGGCAAAGGTAGCTGTCACTCATAGCTATGTTTAAGATAATATTTTAGTATAATATATTTAATGTAGGTACCATGTGCATGTTTGTGTCAGCTCATTTGATCAGATGCTTTAATCCACAGGAGCTTCACTTATCCTGGCCTATCTGAATGAGAAGAACCGGCCCTACAGTGCTCAGGATGTCTTTTGTAACTTACAAAAGCAGCACGGATTGGGCAAAACGGTGAGATTAACACTTAAACATGCAGTGGTGTGTATGTGAAGCCTGCAGTTAATCAATGTACTGCTTATTTGTGACTCACTAGGCAGTTGTCAAGTCCATGGAGCTGCTGGCGCTGGAGGGCAAGATAAAGGAGAAGACGTACGGCAAGCAGAAGATTTATTTTGCAGACCAGGTTAGTCTGTCCATCTGGGAGTCTGTGGACAATAGGCAGTGAAAGCAACACGAGCACACACACAGTTTCTTATCGTAATCTAAGATGAAACTGATTGCTGTTAATCTCCCCCTCAGGCTCAGTTCAGTGACGTTAATGATGCAGACCTGAAGGCCATGGACTGTCAGATCTCAGAGCTCAGTGCCGAGGTGCAGTCACTTACCCAGAGCTGCAGACAGCTAGACGCAGGTGAAGTACACCAATAATCTCTGCAACTTTACATGGTATCAAGATATTTGAATTTTGCACTGTTGGAGGCCACTGTTTGTTGCGGTTTTGGGTAACACTCCTCTACACTGAAGGCGTTTTCATTGCACTGCATTTCTTTCTTTGAAATGGGATGTTGTGTACATTTGTGTATAATTTCCTCTAACAGAGCTGAAGGAGCTCAACAGCTCTCTGACAACAGAGGAAATGATGTCAGAGATTCAAGAGCTGAAAGCGGAGTGTTCTGGGTACAGAGAACGTCTGGAGAAGATCAAGTCGGCCACAAATCACGTCACACCAGAAGAGAAAGAGAAGGTAGGGCGTGCGTTGATGCAAAAAATATCTTAGACCTAGTGAATGTTGTATTTGTTTACCATTTGCTGTACAGTATGGTAGTACATTGCTCATACTGTTTAAATTTGCAGGTTTACAAAGAGCGGACTGTATACGTGAAGGAGTGGAAAAAAAGGAAGAGATTGGTAATGTATATGGAGTTGCAATAATGAGTCAATTAAAAGATCAGTTGAGTGACAGAAAATTAATCTGCAGCTATTTTGATAAATAATTTTCCGTTAAAAATGCCAAAATGTGATGATTTGTTGCTTTTCTTTGTCATATATGACACTAAATTAAGTATCTTTGGGATTGTAAGTTGCACATAACAAGAAAACATTACTTAGGCCTCTGAGAAACTGAATGTCGTTTATTAACACACCGAACAACTGATTGAGAAAATAATCAGCAGATTCATCGATACTGAAAATAAGTTAGTTGCAGTCTCCACATTTTAAATATTTCAATTAGTAAATATTAAATAAAGATGTATGTTGGTTTCGTGAGGATTACAAGCAGTAGATGGAAAGGGAAATATGTAATGTTTTGTTTCTCTCAGGCTTCAGACATGATAAATTCAATCCTGGAAGGGTATCCTAAGAGCAAAAAGGAGTTCCTGGTGAGTGAAAGCTTATAAAATCCCCTGTCCAAAAACACAATTTCGTGCCACGACCTATGCATGTTTTGCTTCACTGTACTATTGAATAATGTGTTGCCCTCACAGGATGAAGTCGGAGTGGAGACTGATGAGGACTGTAAGGTGGTTGTTCCAAGTACTTGAAAGAACAAGAAAACACTTGTTCATCCACTTCATCAATGCAAGCCTGTGCAGTGCTTAGCTAAGAATATGGATTATACATCAGGGCGGTCTGAGCCACAGCAAAATCTTTATTTATTTATAGCCTTTCTTTTGAACAAATAATACATCTTTAATAAAAGTTGATTCGAAATACAACTTTTGTAATGCAAAGTATATTTATACAAAAATATAGCTGTCATTTGCGAGACACTAAAACTACGTCACACCATTAGACAGCAGTGAGGGACGCTTATCACCTCATAGGCAACATTGGTTTATTTTTTTCCCTTTTTATGAAGCCATAAAAAACAATCCTGAGCCTATGCTGAAAATGTCAACAGATTATTCATTATAGCTTTGAGAACTGTACATTTTTTGTTGTTCTTATTACATGTTCAAGTCCATCTTGTTGCCAGTTTTTAAAAAGTACATAAAAGAGCCAAAATGTATAAAGCCTTGACAGTTATTCATGACCTTATGAGTGGGTTGTCCTATTTTTTCCTCCTCTCCTTTGTTAATATTCCTTTGTGCTGTTTCTTCACTCGGTATTGCTGCCAAGTTATTAAATGTTCATGACAGTAACGTATGATGCTGGAGTGCTAAGTGAATTTCTCAAACAAAACAGCCAAACTCATCTCTTTCTCAATTATCTTAAAACATTAGGAGATTTTACAGGTCTGTCTTTTATGCTGTTTAAGACAATGTATTTTCATTTTACTCGGGTCAAATTAAATGGATGTATTAAAGATATTTCTTTACATAGATTGCCTTAGATGGCTTTTTTTAAAGAAAATATTTCCCCATCATTAAAACAACAATAAAGCAACTCTTTATCGAACAGATTAGCTGTGTGTGTGACAGATTTTACTTGCTCAAATACTGGAAACTGTCAAAAGTCATCACAAATATTTGCTTTATATTAAACGTTTAAAAATCAAAGTATAAAAAACGTTTAATTCAGTACAGCAGCTGTAAATCTCTCTGCGTAGGCCTGTCCAAGTTTCTCACCAGATACCTGTGACTGGAGGGGGGAGTACAGTGACAACACGTTTTCCACTCAGCAGTCTTGAACAATCATAAGTGCTGCTGCACTGTTCGGAATGAACTGTTCCTGATCATAAAAGCCACTGATAAGTAATTCAATTATTTTAAATGCTTATTGTAAACTGCAATCTGAAAGGTTCATCATAATTAACACTTTGTATTTAACATTATCTCCCAAATAAACACATGTATCACTACAACTGAATAACTATTTAACATTCAACACAATTTGTATTGTAGCTTAATTATCGTCAATATATACAATCATTCATAAATCTTAGACACTTATGCTGCTTAAATTGCACACCAGTCACCCGTGAGATTTCAGCATACTGTCGCAGCTGTATTAATGAGAACTTCACATTTTGTCACAAAAGGTAGAAATCTTTTAATCATTCCTCAGTGACAAAATGCTGCAGCGCCATAGAGCATGCTCCTGAGTGTGCGCATAGTTAGGATAAACGACAGTTACCCTGCAGTAGTGTGTCTGCTATGGTTCAGGAGTGGTATGGCTGACTGAAGCCGAGACAAGCCCTTTGGATCAGCTTTAAGCTGCAGTTATGTCAGATGTAAAAGAGGGAATGGTGTGTTTTTACATGTTTATCACTATTCTCGCTCCTTTTTTCAGTTTCTGTTAGGTTGATAGGTTGCAGACGCAATACGATCAATAAACTCTATGTAAGAGGAGTCTTTGTTTTCATTTACCTCAACAAGGGCAACAGTTACTGCAAAGTATAATCACAACTGCACTGTCTTGTCAATCTGATGCATTTAACTTAAATATTAACTTGTGAACTCTAATTTTGACTTCTGAGCTCTTGTGTTGCCTCTGCATTTCTTGGCAGAATAGTAAAAAATATGAGCATTCAGCTGAGGCCCGGAAAATACTCGTATGAGAAAGTGATCCTTCCTAAACACACAGCTGCTCGATCCAATATAACTTTTCATCTCTGCCCATGGTGTGGGTTGAGGCAATCCAATTGCAGCCAGGGAGTCACTGATGAGCTGAAGTGAGTGTAAATACTGTGGTGTGGCGTGAGGCTGATTGGAGTTTTTACTCCACCCTGAGAGGCCAGAGCAAGCCCAAAGTCACTTTCTGGGAGTTCAGTCCAGAGGTTTAAATGGATCAATAAAGCTGACCATTGAGCTGCCGGAGCACCCCGACAACAAACTCCCTCAGCGTCTAGGAAAGAACAGAAGGATCACAAGAATCACACAAAATGATCTCAACATTAACCAGTTTTACCGTGTCTGATCTGATGTCCACAATGGGTTCAGAATATTTTTTACCTGCGGCTTGCAGTGCTCCTCAATCCAGCTGAAAACGCAGGCGGAAAGTTCTTGGAAACTGCTCACTGAAACCGAATTACTGAAGGACTGGAACAGGGAGTCCATGATGCTCTGAAAGATGTTGAACTTAACCTGGTCAGACACCTGATCCTCTCCCTGCTGTGGGTTGTTCTGGTGGGCCTTCACTATGTGCTCATAGTTCCTATTAGGAAAGACAAACACTGTTCACTGGCATTGCAAATTACAATTTAATTAATGGTCACAACTGTTCCATAAAGAAATCATTAACTCGAGCCAGTCCTTTCATACACTACATTCA